CGGAGAAGCGCGGTGGAGTTGGCAACCTCGCGTCGCGGGTGACCGTCGTGATCGAAACCAGTGAGGAATATGTTGGGTTCGGCCAGGATTATCGAGCACTGTACACCGCTTCCACTGGCAACCGGCTTTGGAACTTCCGTCACCGAGCTTATGATACTCTTGGCTGAGCGGACCGATATTATGTTATTCAGGTGCGCGCTTTGGAGAGCTGCGCTCACTGCAGACGCTCTGTGCGTTTCGGGCATCGCAGCGCTGGCCATAGTAGCCGCGCCAGGTGGGGGTACTGATATCATGGACAACGGGTGTTCCCTCTGCGGGGAAACAGGCGTGAGCTCGGTAGGTGACTGGGGAACGCCTGCTGGAGGGAGAACGTCGGCAGCAACTGGATGCGCAGTTGACAGCTTGAACGGGGCCAAGACCTTCTCAAAAACTCGTCGGGATGACCTGCTCACAGCTGCCTCTTCCGCTACCGTTTCTGCTTCGCTGTTTTTATTACTCTTCCTTTTTGCCTTGGCAGCTCTCTTGCATTTGACCAAATCGGCTCTTACTTCGTCCGGGATATAGCCCGAAGGATAGGAAATAATGTGAATCGACTGATGTCGCCGGGAACGGGATTGAAATTGCGGGCTCGGAAACGATTGATCGGCACGATTCCTGCGCTCTTCGACCCCGGGGCTGTAATAAACGTTCCCACCTAGAGGATGGGTAAGGTGCTGGTCGGCACACCTCGGCCGATTCCAATCAGGTCTTGACATTTTCTTATGTTAGAGCTACGGTAATGAGGATGTTGACGATGGGCGATGAGGCAGAAGAAATAAGAAAGGGTCCAGAAGGAAGTTATATCATGGTAATGAGCCGCAGACAACCTCGCAGAGATGACATGCACAATCTCTAAGCATGCAGTGACGTAGAGTCAGGGATAGTCAACAGAGAAATGAGGCGGAGGACGACGAGCTTAGAGAATGCCTAGTCTCATAGGTCGGGGAAAGCCATACACACAGGTGGGCTGGACGGGATATGGATTGATTAATACCAGGAGGTGTAGTGAGTGGGCGTGCAAGGGATGGCGGTTAGGTAATGTAGTGACAGGCAAAGCAGCCAAATGAGGACAAGAAAAGCGCGAGCGCGAGCGCGAGTCTATGCGTATATAGAAGTAAATGAGATGGATTTAGGCGTGGATGGATCAATCGAGGAGGACCGCCCAGACGGGACAAGAGAGCGGCAGGAGGAAGGAAAGAAGGCGAAAACGGGACTTACATACGGACGGCGGACCAAGTGCCGGCAGGACAGAGCTGAAAAGAAAACGCGGGCACAGGAGGGGCGGGAAAACAATCACGAGGTCGAGGCCTTGCAATGAGTATACATCAAGCCATAAAAATCGTGCGTGCTATTATGTGTACGATGTGCGAAACACTCGGGACAGTGTATGCTGACGAGCAGAAGCACTCAGGTCGTCAAGCACCGGACGGAGTACAGCGCAGTCTGGGGTACACAACGGGTGTCGTCAGTGCTGGGCGGTAGGGGAGCACCCTGGTTTCTGTTTTGCAGGCTGCCCAGGTGGTCAGAGATCGCCAGTGCCTAGTGTGCCTAGTGCACCTATGTCCCGGGACCCGCTCTGGGCAATATTGGACGTACACTAGGGATGTTTCGACGACGCTGCAGCTGCAGCCGCCGTGTGCGGAGAGAGAAGTGGGAAAGCAGGGCGCAAGACAATCAGGTGATGCGCACAGCAGCCCCGGGGCCAGCACCGCCGGCCAGGAAGTCTGTACGTGAGCCTGACACGCAGAAGTCCGGCGTGATGGGCGTCAGGTGAGATGGATGCACAGGTATCCTAGCTTAGGGTAGGTACCTGGGATGTGGGATGTGCGAAGAGGGGTTGGGTTGGTTGGCTGCTGGGTTGGAGGGAGCAGAGAGGCGGCAATTGGCGACCAGACCGGAAGAGGAAGTGAAAGGGGAGAGTGGAAGCGAAAGGGAAAGGGAAACAAGGGGCGATGACTAACTCCTTGGCAGTTGGACCAGGTATAAGTGTGCTACAATGTCTGCACACTGGTACACTAACGGTATTGATGATGATACGATTCCTGGCCGCCTTATTAATGCGACGGCAGACGAGACTGGGCAGGTATCCAGGAAAAGCAAGGAACAGGATAAGGGTCCCAGCAAGAGGAAATGGGAAAAAAGAAAAACCCTTTGTGCATCAATTGGAATGTCATGCCCAGACCCTAGTGTAGACTACCTAGTATACATAATAGCTTTTGGCTGCCGTGTCATGCTCTCGCGGTGACGAGGGATGACGATGGTGCCGACATGGCGAGAAAGGCGAACAACCGAGCGGCGCAGAAAAAAAACCACTGACCAGCAGCGCCAGCGATAACTGTTGCAGACGAACGGCTCCACGGCATGATATACCTATGATGTATTATTCGCAGTCATCCCCGTCGTTTTTCTCGCCTCTTCATTGGCTGACAAGGCTCCTCTCCCGCAACCCAACAGGCCAACCCAACACTCCTCCCGCATCGCGCATCTGCAATACCCCTGTCAGCTATGCAATCCCCGTTTTCTGTCCGGGTTCTGCTAGATCGGACCTCTCTGCACTACTGCTGCTACACGTGCACTTAGACCTTCATGAGTGCATCTCCACGCAGATTCGGGGAACCTAGTAACCTCTCATAGTGCAATGTATCTTGCCTAGTATACGCACATGGACGCTTTCATCTCAAATACGATCCCGGTTCCTTCACCGCGGGCAGATGACAATGAACTGTCAGTAGCAAGGAGCGCTTACACCTGTAGTCGACCAGGCTTTCGGGTCACAAGCCACTCTGCTGCTAGACGATACCTGCAGCAATAGGTACTCGAATCTCATTGCAGTATCAGCGCTTTTCCAGATTACACCTAGGACAGTGCCTAAGAATGCAGTGTAGACTATGTACCTACTATGATGGCAGTATACACTACAGGTCTGTTCTACAGACTACCGGAATCAGTAAATGAGGGCACCCCCGAGTGCACCGGCATTCGGGAAGGAACACCGACAAAATGATCGCCGCGCTATTTACTCGTTGATTGCCAATCGCATTTACACAGCATGAAATTACTTGACAGCTAATGTCACGAGCCATATCCGGAATACGGGTAAAGCATGGGCTAGGTACTTGACTTTTTGTCATCGCCAACCGACACACCGCAGAATGTACATACAGCAGAACTATTGAAGCGGTCAGGCTTCCATTACTGATGAAACCGTATTGACACTAAAATGGGTCAAAGGGAAAATTGTCTTGGAATGTGAATCTTATCTAATTTACGTCTTATTCAGGAACGACCCGACACTACTCGGTTGTGCGTGAACTTTGGTCATCTTGTTCCAATGGCTTTACACGAGGTACTACACTATCGATTGTATGTAGTATAGATGGTGGTGGACATGACCTTCAATTCTCTGATCGTTAACCCTACCTTATTTTTATTTTATTTTTTTGGTGACTGACGACGATTTGAATACCTGACCCATTCTCTTCCACTTTAAACTTACGATCTTCAGTTGTCATGAATCGGACATGGATCATTGGCCCCAGGTATTTCAGTATTCCCACTTTGAGCGCTACGCTACTGGATCTCTCCTTGCAGGAGGCAATGCGACGAACAGGGTGATCGCCGCTACAGCAGAAAAAAAATTCAATAACAACAATAATAATAATAAAGAGAAGGGAAATTTTGTCCGCCTGGTTTTGGTTACGTGAATGCTTCGATTTCTCATGTTTCCCGCCAGTCTAGGGGGACAGTTAGAACTTTCCTACATAGGTACGACCTAGGTACTCTAATAATATGCAGTAAATAGAATCTATTTACAGTACCTACTATACGGCATATTTCCCTTGCACTAATGGTTAGCCATCCTAAATGCCTCACAGGTTGGGCACCCTAAACCAATTGCAGTCAATGGAAAAAATGCTTTTTCTATAAGACAGGTATTATTGCCGGTCCTGGAAGTTATATGAGATCTTATATCAGCACAGGCATTCGATGCAAAATCAGTTGTTAGTGAGGCTGACGGTTTCACTACACTATATGTAACTAGGAGAAAAGCTACTACCGGTAGGTAGTCTCCAGTTTATTTTTCCATGGAAAACAATCCGCTGTCGTCACCTAAGCCACCCAACATCTTGACTATTCCCTGAAACTCTTAGCCAGGTGGCCCCATCGGTGAATGACGTAGGTCAGGGCTAGCCGGCCAACAATTAATGAGCTCTTGCGAGTAATCTACATCTCCCTTCTTCCACCGATCTGACTCCGAGGTGAACATCCTTTATCGCCTCTGAGACTTACCTACTCTACAGTAGGTAGGTAGGTGGAAGTGTACAGGTGCTTGATCTCAGTGCTATGTACCCGGTACTCCTGTCCCTACAGATAGAGCGAATGACATCCGTATTCTATGCCGTCGAGTCTCAAAAGGGAATAAGAGCTTTCGGGAAATACGCGAGGGAACGAAAGCACGAGAGCGCGAAATTGGCCTGAAAATCACTCTGTGGGGGGCGGAGAGGCTAACGGGAATACTTAAACCCGTGACTCGGTAGGAGATGCTGGAGTTACGGAGATGCCGTATAGTCGGGATGATTCCAAAGATTGGCCAGCCTTTTCGCCTACTCTCTATCTAATAGCTACATCCTAGATGGAGCTTTCGGACCTGAGAGTGCAGAGTGTGTTAGCTGGCGATACAGCAAAGCCGATTCTCCACCCCCCGTTGCACCGACTTATATAGAAGATTCTCAGTTGGAGTACGGGTTGGGCGGGGAGCGGGCACCCACGTGACTAACCGTTCTTTGCTTTAAAAAAAAGGCGCTTTGACCAGTTGATCGATCTGACACTGAAACCCGCTTTTAGTCTCGGTATTACCTAGCCTATTCGGTACTTGCTTGTTTGGACGGGTAAACTCTGGAACACAGAGCTAATGTGAAAGGGCTATATGTACGTTGAATAACATCGACATTCCATCAATAGCACTGATAGCTCAGCGGTAGAGCAATCGGCTGCAGTTTCCCGAAATACATCCGATAGGTCCTCGGTTCAAATCCGGGTCAGTGCTCTTTTTTGTTGTTGCTTTCTCTTTTACTCCTTGAACCCCTCCTCTCTCTCTTTCAACTTTATCTCTGTAGTATTTTTCCTCCCCGACAACAAGAACGTTATCTTCAAAACCATCCGTCAATTGGTCCGGCCTCCACGATCTCCACGCGATGCCGCCACCAAAGAAGACGATGAAGACAACAATGGCGAGGCCAGAAATGAGTTGCGGCGCCCTCAACGCCCAAGCCAACAACGCGTACAAATACGTCTCTGCGCGCTCTTCGAGCCGTCATATTGTGCGTTTTGCATGGCTTCATCGATCGGCGACCTCCTTCTGAAAGCCACCAGCCTCGGCCTTAACTTTCTCAACAACTAATTTGAGAGTGCCTCGAGTCACCTTCCCACCGCTGCCAAGCCAATCCCGAGGACCTGCCCCTCGTCATCAATGCACGACGCGGCTCTGATACGGCTTGCTTTCCTTTCGCAAGATACTTGAAAAGCCGATCGCGCGCCTGAACACCCGCGCATTACGCCCATCGAGTTACGAGAAGTTGATCCCTTCTGGTACACCGGAGAAGACATCCTCGCCGTTAACGAAGTGCTACATATCCGAGAGCCTCGTGTTGCTCAAATGCGCGGCCGCTGTCGCAACGCAGCTGTCACGCTTCCAGAAGCACTGCGCCTCTAGGGAATCAGGCAGCATCGTCGCCGCCAGCTCGAACCAGACCCGCATCGTAACCCCTCCAAGTAGGGAGGGGCAGTGCCTGATCCGCGCGCAGCGGCATCGCAGAGTGGCCGTGGCCGAGGCCGAGCCAGCGCATCGCAACCGTCATCAAAGGCGCCTCGCGCCCCATTATCTACGTTTCCCTTCGTGAATGCCATATTGGCAGACCAGGGAGCCCTTCAACAAGGAGCCCAGCGGTCGCGTGATGTCGCTGCCGGCGCCGTCATCGAGATCAGTGATGACGACGAGGTAGTGTGAGGACGCACGCACAGGCGCGCGGTGGCATCGTCATGGGCAGAAGACCTCGGATTTGGGCGATTTATTCATCTTTAAGGGCTCTTTCGCTCGATGAGCAGTAAGCATGTCAGTCCCGGAAATGGGTGGAAATAAATAATTAAGCTATCTCTTCGGCTTGATTTGTTTACTACTAAGGAAATAACTATTATTAACGTTGCCAGCAAGAACTTTAAAGACCACGATCCTGCCAACTTGCTACTTTTTCTAATAAAATACATAATGTATGCTTATAACGTTAGTATAAATAATCAATGATTATAATTATAAACAGCTTTTTAGTGGTATACTTTAACCTTTTATACCAAACAAGATATTATTAATTAGATTACACACCTATTTTAGTGTGCTTTATATATATACAGAGGTAATATAGCAATAATCAAAGAGCTTTTTAGCTACCGTGTTAACTTCCTCTCTTATACTTCTAAGAGAGAGCACACAAAATTTAAAGCTCCGTGTTAAGGACTTGCAGGCTAAGTATAGGGGTATAGATTCGGTTGTCATGTAAAAGTTATAATCGTCTTTACAAGTTAATCCCTGGTTATATTTTCATTTGTTCTAAGGAGCAGTGTTATAGGTAGCAAAGGAAGTTATTATAGTTTAGTTAATTGTTTATTTTATTTCTGTTTTTTTGAACATAGATTATTACTTAAAACTTATATTTTATATATATAGCTCCAATGGCAAGTTTTAACCATTTTCATAGATACTTGAAGAGTGTACAATGCTGTTCTTCTTCTGAAACCCGATTTTCTTGTCTGACCTCCCTCTTTGGCTAGGTGGCCTCGAAACGGTGATCATTCAATGTATCCTCCTGCCTCTAGGCTCCTCGAGCCTGATGGCTGAACATGGTCTCGGGATTGTTGAAACTACAAGAGCATTACTAAATGAAATGAGTTAGATGCACAAAGCGTTGATCTGCCATCGTCCAGCATGAAAGGCGATAATACTAGCTCATTAATAGTCGGCTTGGCTAACGGAAGCCAGCCATCTCAATACTCAGTCCATCGAACTCCTCTTCCCCCCTCTTGTCTTGAATTAGAAGGTCGAACACAACTACTCTCCAGAGTAAACGTGATTACTCCATCCGTAATATGGAATTGCAGCAACTTCTCAATTCGCTTGTCACGTACCTACGTGGTATGAGGAACAACATACCCCGTTAAGTTTGCTCGATGAGCGTATTGTTATATAGATTAGTTTACATTATATTATTGTGGTAATAATCGGCAAACCTCAGTGTCTGGTCCAGGATGCGATTGCCGGTATCCCCTCCCTATTCGAGGAAGCCAATTGGATTACGCTATTTCGGACCCGTTAGGTGACCGCTTTCGAGTCTCGGAGTAGTATCTAGCGCACGCATAGAATACTACGTCGATGATATACTACTAGTAGTATACAGCCAGCATGTCTCAGTGGTTCCTGGTGTTCCAGCCAATAATTGCATCAGCTTTTCCCTGAACTCGCAGATACAAAAATCACAAGCATAAGAAGACGGTCAAATGCTTGCGCGCGATTTGACAAGCCGAAATCTGATGGGTGGTACCGGGCGATTCCCGTGGCTGATCCCTATACCCAGACCACTTATACCAATAGCATCTCGGCTCAATAGAATATCACTGGCCAACTTCATAGCAGATTAATAGCTTGGCGCATTGTTATGATGCACGCCCTCCGCGCCAAGAACGTATCATTAAGCGTCGTATCGAGCATAGTGTCAAACACGCTGTCTCGATGCTACCTTCAATCAAGCTCGCGGAGTGAGCTTCAGGACGTGGATAGCATCCTGTGAATGAAAGCTTATCTTGCTCGTGTTAGAGCACGCAACGGGGGCCGCCTGCCTAATATAGGTAGACACGGTAGTATTGGCCCATCAGATGCGCGGGAAGGTCGCCCAGACTCGGCAAGTCGACAATGCTGGCAGGGGTCCTTACTGTCATTAAGCGCTGCGGCATCCGTTTGTGTGCAACCGGCCCGGAGGGCTACACGGATCAATGTAACAATACGACAGAGAAAGGGGACGACTACGCCTATAAGATGGCGAGGTTCACCTCACTTCACTATGGGGTCTCCCTACGAGGCCGTCTTCGACATTTCCAGTCGTGAGATTCCTAGACACGCTCCAGATTCTTGCCGACATGTTGTCCTTAGCTACTGCTCTGTTCGCCACGGCCGCCACGGCCCGGCTAATGGACAGCCTGCCATCCGTTCCCCAAGGATGGACACAGGTCCGCCAAGCTGCTCTGGACGAGCCGATCACACTCCGAGTCGCGCTCCCACAGCAGCATGCCGCCGCATTGGAGCAAGCAGTGATTGAAATGTCAACCCCAGGCCATCCCAGCTACGGGAAGCACTTGAGTCGGCTCGAGCTGCGGTCATACACTGCACCAACAGACGAAGCTGTCTCTTCCGTTGTTCGTTGGCTGGGTGGGAGCAACATCAAGCCTCTCGTCAACAACGACTGGATCACCTTCTCAACCACCGTGGATAAGGCCAACGAGCTGCTGAATACGACCTTTGCGTGGTATCAGTATGAAAAAGGTGGCGGCCCTAAGCTCCGAACACTCGACTACAGTGTGCCGGATGAACTCGCCAAGAATATTGACTTGATCCAGCCGACCACTCGGTTCGGACAGCTCGGCGCGAAGAAGTCCACCATCTTTGACATGCATATTCTTGGCCCTGTGGAGGAAGAGGCAAAGGTTGCAAGCGTTGAAGCGACCGGCGATGTTGCCGCCGACTGCAACACCAGCCAGATCACACCGGCTTGCCTCAAGTCATTGTACAACATCCAATACACACCTACTGCCAGCGGCAATCTGGTCGCGTTCGCTTCGTATCTGGAGGAATATGCCAGGTATTCCGATCTGGCTTCGTTCGAGTCGCGTTGGATGACAAGCGCCGTGGGACAGAACTTCAGCGTCGAGCTAGTGAACGGGGGGTTGAACAATCAGAACAGCAACAGTGACAGCGGTATGTTTGGGTCCATTGGTTATCGAGCCATTTCGTACTAATCTACACTAGGCGAGGCGAACCTAGACATTCAGTATATCCTCGGCGTCAGCGCTCCCATTCCCATCCTCGAATACAGCACCGGTGGTCGCGGGTAAGTGGACTTGATAGCCCCAAAAGCCTCAAATCCTAGTTATGCTGACCACTGCGGCTAGGCCTCTAGTGCCTACCGATGACGAGCCTGGCCCGTCGAGCAACGAGCCGTACCTGGAGTTTTTGACATATCTCTTGGACCAGCCCGACTCAGCCCTACCCCAAACCATCTCGACTTCATATGGTGAGGAGGAGCAAAGTGTGCCATCTGATTACGCGCTTAAGGTGTGCAATATGTTCATGCAACTCGGTGCTCGAGGCGTCAGCGTTTGTAAGTAATTCTCAGAGTCACGTTCTTTTCGTCCCGGCCACTCTGGGTGCAGGGGATGCCTTTCACGTGCCGAACCCATATCCGGAAGGGGGGGTTTGCGGGTTCCCGAAATACATCAATCGCGCTCAGATGAGATAGCTGACGATGAGTGTTACAGTATTCTCCTCCGGCGACTCCGGCCCCGGGGATTCGTGTATCCGCGTGACCGATCGTGCTGCGTATTTCCAACCTACCTTCCCTGGTGCTTGTCCGTACATCACTTCCGTCGGCGCCACTCGTGGGGTCAGCCCGGAGGCCGCTGTTAGCTTCTCGAGCGGTGGCTTCAGCACGCTTCACGCCCGGCCGTCCTGGCAGGACAGCGCCGTGAGCTCGTATCTCTCGAAGATTGGCACGACTTACTCGCCCTACTTCAATGCCTCCAACCGAGGTTTCCCGGATGTTGCCGCCCAGGGCGCATCCTTCGCTGTTGTCGATAAGGGTAGAAGCGCGCTGTTGTCGGGTACCAGTGCTTCCGCGCCTGTCTTTTCCGGCGTGGTAGCTTTGCTCAATGCCGCTCGAAAGAGCCAGGGCTTGGCACCATTGGGCTTCTTGAACCCTTTCCTTTACTCCAATGCCGCCGCCTTCA